TAATGTCAACACAGGAGCAAATAAGTCGCATATTAACATACAGAAACTTTTCAGGACATCATATTTACCGCGCACTATTTTAATTGTGTCCTAATTGACGAGCACTGATGAGCTGCTCCTGAGCTCGGTCAACTGTCAATACCAGCATCACTTTCTGACTATTAGGTTTTTCTTTTTTAAATTCATCCCTTTCCGTTTGTTTGTCACAGAGCTGGTGGACAGATCAGTGCAAAGTCATCTGTGCTTAAAAACCGTCTTAGTTGAGTTTGCAGCTACAGTCAGGCACAAAAAAGAAAGACGACAATGACAGAGCTTAAGCGTGGCTTTAATACATTTCAGTAGTGCTGACCTTGGCTTTTGTCTGGATAGAATACATCGTGTGTCTTCGCTGATAATTACCTCAGGATGTAAGTCCACTGGGGATCTTCTGCTTATACCACCTATTCTCTTCACTCATTTTAATGGAAATAAGGCACCGCTGCTTGTTTTTTTATGGCGTCGGGTTCGTGACTGATCACACAAAAGGTCAGCTGAAGTGCTGCTCAACATTTATGACTGTGTTTGTGTGGATGGCTTCACGATGTTAATATATCATGCATGTATTAGACGTTATTTGTTGTTAAGAGTGCTTTACCACATGTTATCGTGCAGTGGTTAGTAAAACATTCTACAGACTGAAGGAGCATTTCTCTTTAGACAGAGTTGTAGTGTTAAAACCAGCATATGGGTGAATTAGAGGAGCCCTACTTTGCTTATAGGCTTACATCTAAAAATCATTCATTTAATAGATGCATTAATTCATTTAGAGTTTGGACATTGCTTTTAATGCAGCTTACAGTCTTTCATGACCTCTGAAAATTCAGGCTACACTTTAGAAGCTCAATTTCAAATTTTAGTCTGAAGGACAAGAATGAACACAAAGCCATGAAGTAGAACTAAACTTTGAATTGCTGAGTCATTATATGATGACTTCTGTCTCTAAATAGATGCCAGTTTATTTAAACCATGGCTTAGATATTGGACAGATGAGCAAAGACATTATGACGTGCACTACCTAAGACCTCTGAAGATGCTTTGAGATATCTGGCACCAAGAGTTTAGCAGCAACCGGAGCCTTGAAGTTGAGTTGATTTGAATCTGCTGCTGATCAGACAGTTTATCACCCAACACCTGACCGACCAGGGGTCGTCCCTCCATGTTCCACTGGTAGGAGGTCATTTTTAGCCTTTAATTTTGAAGGTGAGAGACAGGAAACGTGGGGAGAAGAGTGGGGAAGGACATGCAGCAAATGAGCCTTGGGTCGGACGCAAACTGCGGCCGCTGCATCGGGGACTTTCAGCCCCTGTACACGGGTCGCCACTTGTTGAGCTACTGGGGCACTCGGTGTCGACCACAGTTGACTGGGAGCACAGCACAAGCCTTACTGTTTCATAGGAGGCTTTGTCTGACGCTTGGTCAGACACTTTGGCCTTCCAGGGTTTTACATTTGTCCATTTCTGACATCCGACATGTTGACTGCGACAACTAACAATCTAAAAAAATCCCAAATGCTGACATTGTTCCAAGATAACCCCCCACCCCTGGACCGATTCACTGTGCAATAAAAACATTATAATAGTCGTAAATATTGTATTTTATATAGGTTTTATTCAGAGTTTCTTTCATATATATTCCCCATTTTGTCCCTGTTCTTTTCTCCTCTTTGAGCCAAATGCAGTGTCATTTCATTGCGACCGTGTAAATCTGCAGTGACAAATAAAGTCTAAGTCTAATCAGCATTATTTCCTTCGTCTGCAAGCGGCCACAATATTCTGGCTCATTGTTGTACAATAAATGCACGAAGCATTTTTCAGCTAAATGGTCGAAAATTTGCATCAATTTTGATATTCAGAAACCAGTGTCGGTGGGCAACTTGAAGAAATCGTCCACCTACTCATCAGCCACCACGTTTTCCACTTAGAAAATTGGAAGGACGGATCAATGACTGTCCGCTGAGAGCTTTGTATGTCCGCTAAGTCATGTGTAGGACGGGTTCATGTTGATGTCTCAGTAAAGGCGAGCACTGTCAATCATATATTGTAGAGCCAATTTGAAATGCCAAGCAAATTCCTACTGAGCTTTGCCAGATCACAAAGAGGAGGAAAAACTAATGCCTGGCTTCATAGAGATTTGAGAACTAGCATCTCATCTTAGCGCTTGTTTTATTTTAGCAGCAAACTTTTCAAAAACAGGGAAGGGTGTGTGTAGAGAGCTTTGCCTTCTTTTCCATGATGCTGCAATGAAGTGAGGTAACAACGACGGCATCGTTCTGTCCACCGCTGCTCCAACTCACCTCAACTTTCAGCTAACATATGACTTCACAAATGCTTCTACTTCTTTGCAAATTTAACTTCCACAAATTCCAAATACGATCAAATCACTGATTCTGTGCTTCAGCTGTTTACAGTTCACAATCCCTGTATTGCAGAGATTCCAGCTACGCAGCTTTAGTGATTAACTTTCCCAATAAAATCAGAGAAAAGAGCTGCACATGTGGTACTATCACAGCAATCGTATCTAATAACCTCACTGGCCAAATGCAAAATAAGACTATGGAATGGTTCTGGTCAAGCAGTTTATCTAAGCACTAGTTTTCTAAGATGTCCACCCACATCACTGTCATGTGTCGGGCTCACCTTGCAGATCTTGTACAGGGAATCCTGTCCATCCCCATCCGAGTCCTTAAAGTAGTCGTGTGCTGGAAAAGTGCGGTGGATGTCGCGGGTGATGACGCCTTCCTGCGCCGAGTCCTGCAACACACACAGATTACAAGCTTTATCCATGTCTAATGGGTTCACGGGACGACATACAGATTAAGACAATATATCGTTCTTAATTCAGAACTGCCACTTTGCAGCTACGACACAAACCAGCACCACACTGCTGTGTCACTGCTTGTGTGTGTGTGCTGGTGTTTGTCCCTTTCCCACTGCAACCACACTCCCCAGGCCTTAGTCACTCAGTCTGTCTGATCCACAGCCACCGCAGCACACATCCACACAACAAACACGGTTATTGGTTTTGCAATGCACTCCTCACTCATAACGGCACACATGCATACATATAGAGGCGCTGTGCTGTTTCCCTGTCGCTCCCTTTTCTCTCACACACAGTCAGTCAGTCATATGCACACTGTCGCACACACAGTGCAAACACTAGCGCAGCGAGGGCAGGAAGCACGACATTCTCCAGCAACTCACTGTAAGCTGCAGATAAACCAGCCCTGAGCCTGACTGGCCTTGATGTGTGTTTGTGTGTATCAGAGACAGAACTAGCGAATGTGTGAGTGAGCGAAAGTGAGGGGAAAAAAAATAAAAAATCTCTCTTTTGCTTTTTTCCTTTTCTTGTTTCCCGACAGTAGAGACAGAACAGAAGGAGGAAATTAAAGTCAGGGTGTCTCAAAGAGGAAAGGCAGTCTTCTACATGTTTGTGGAAAACACTGCGAGCTGTGAAAAGGTCCTGGTCAGGAGGTCCCCCACTTCCTTACAGATAAAAGCCCAGCCATGCTCTCAGAATACATTTCCAGGGTCATTATGCCGGTACAACCACTGAAATGTTTTTGTGAGTGTGGAACTTGTGCGCTAAGGTGGCAGCACGAGAAGAGATATCCTTTGGAGGTGTCCTGGCAGTCTGGCGTTTGAGATGCATTACCATGTAATTGCAAACCCCATGAGTCAACTCCAGCCATGGTCCTTTTTCGTATGTCAACGCAGCGCTCTCGTCTGTTTATACGACCACGATCAAGAAAGCTACAACAGAAGAACCTTTTCTATTGCCAAGTGGAGAAGTCCATTAAAGATGATATAATGAGTTTGAGTTTAGGCCATAAATCGTTTAATGCCCGTTTGTCACAACCTTTGCACACAACTGTTTATTTGTTGTGTTTGACTTTTTACTTTTTTTTTTATCATATATCATTTTGTGATTATCAACTTAATTATTTTTTTTTGCTTGTAAATTGAACTTGGTAACTTAAGACAGTCGTCTCCAACCTTTGTTGCACCACGGACCGGTTTCAAGCAAAACAACTTTCTACGGACCGGTCATCACATAACAAATAATAATTGTTTTCTCTATTAAAAAAGTGTCATAAATGAATCAAATTACTTTTTATTGCTAAATAAGTATTTACGATTTCTTCCGTCTCAGCATCTTTTCAAAGAATCTCTCCAGAAAAGTTTGGTGTTTTTTTTACTCATTTTGGTTAGAACAGATTTTTACGGCATTTCACGGGTATGAAAACTGACCGAGACAAGTGTGGGAAACAAGCACAGCTGGAAGTTACAGGAAGACGAGTAAGTAATTTTTCTAAATAAAACACCCCACAGACTGCCGGAAACAAAATAAACCAATAAAACATTTTTATTCTTTCTGTGCGGCCCGGTACCGGTCCGCGGCCCGCTGGTTGGACACCACTGACTTAAGAGAGAAAGAGAGGCTTAAAACAAAACAACAAAAAAGTACAAATGAAATTCTTAAAATAAATAATAATAAAACCCTGGACACAACCAAAAACTTATGACGGAATATTTACTGTTCCTGAAAGTAAGGTCTGATTTTCTCTTTAAAAAACAAGATGCTTTCAATGTACGTAAAATTAACACACACACACATTTATGCATGCAGTACGTGTATCACCACTGTGTTCTATGATATCTTTGTGGAATTTAATTCCTTGTGCACCATGTATTTAACAATATTCCTATTTTGCATGAATACAAATACATACATTCAGTTTAAGTGCTTTACACACACACACACACACACATGCACACACACGCACGCACACACACACACACTCACACACACACACACACACACACACACACACACGCACACACACACACACACACCAGAGGGTTTGTTGGAAGCTGCTGGCACAACTGTGTGTAATGCTTTAATGAGATTTGTCGTGTGGAGGTGTTGTGTGTCGTTCACTGTATTATGTGTTGGAAATGGAACGAACGGTTTTACTGTAGCGACAACAAAAAAGAAAAGAAACAGAAAAAACCAGATGCACCTCTTCAGGAATGCACTGAGTGTTGCTGTTTTTTCTTTCTTACGTGTTCACAGTTGTTTTAACCTGAAAGCAAATGAGACAGAACAGATCTATGCCGTACGTTTTAAACCTAAAGTGGAACGTGAAACGTATCTCGACAGCTTGTTCGCTGCGTTCTTCTGTGACAGTCGGTGTGAAACTCCCAGTTCAGCTCAGCTCACACGGAGGGAGAAAACGATCAGCTGATTAAGCAACATTTCCACAATAACCTTTCAGCATTTCAAAACTCAAGCAGCGTGAGAGGAAACTAGACTTCTGCACCTCGTCTTGGCTCCGTTTTCAGGCTTCAGAAAATCTAGTCTGTGACCGGAGATTTTAACGAATCACTGGGCTTTTGTGAGATTCAGGAGTTCTGATTTGCTCACGTGCAGTCAAATGCAAAGTGGCTGTTTTTCAAGGCTGTGCAGCAACAATCAGACATTATAGAACAGCAACGAAAACACATCAGAAATGAAGATTTTTCACCCACAGCAAATGAGACGTATCGACATTATCCATGTTGAGAGCAGCAGGAACAAAGTGAACTTTGAGCCTGGCCAGCTGCAGTGTTATTCTAATTACTAAATCTTACTATTAAATGAATTAATAATCAACTAATCATTTACACACGTTTTCACACTGATTTGAACTCCTTCAGTGAGTGTATTTGCTGCCACCTCTGATGCATGTGACTGTACACTGAACGTCTCTGAGCTTTAAACTGTTGATCGGACAAAGGACGGGATCTGATGACGTCGTGTTTTACTGAACCGGGATGCACGTCAGCTGCAGCCCGTCCAGCTGATGACTGAAGCACCGAGTTCCTCCTCGATGCAGATTTGTTTACATCTGTACAGAATTCACAAGGACCAGCGATGGTTCGCTGTATTTTTATAGAAATGGAAACATTTAGAAAATTCATTAAAGACAAGTTTATGTCGTGTTTTTCAGTAAAGCCTTTGTTATTTTGGGCAAATTTCAAATCATTTTGACAGTTTTTTGTTTTTTTAAATCTCACTTGGGACATTTTTGAAGCCTTTTTTTGACAAGTTTTGAAATATTTTGGATGATTTTCTTTCATCTTGGACATCTTGAGCCACTGAGCCTATATTGACTCAAAGTTCGAGTCATTTTGACTAATTTTGGACAAAGTTTGAACCGTTTCGAGAATATTTTGACTAATTTTACAGCGGAAACAGTCTGGGTTATGGTTCCTCTACAGTCTGCAGTACTGAACATTTACAGTGTGGGATCTCTGAGGACAACTATCCAAAGAACGATTTCATTAATTATGCAGCGAGTAAAAACTCCATTAGTTTTAAAATAATTACAGACTAATGATTAATGGATTACTTTTTATTAGTTATCCCGTCATTATTAACAAACACATTTATGACACTATAATTACCACGGCAGCATCAGCCAGGACCAGCAAGAATCTGGTTGACAGTGAAAGTTGTAAACACTTTGATTTAATAAACCATGCATGCCTCTGCTAATTAAAAGCCTCATTACTCAAAAAACACCATAAAAAAAGGAGGAGAGGACGTCCTCTACGCCGCCTAATCTCCTTCCTTCTCGCCTTTTATCCCTTCTTCCTCTTCTCTTCATTTTTCCCTTGCACATTTCCTTTTCTCCTCGAGTTCTTCACTCCCAGCTCCTTTGTTCCCGTTTTCTCGCTTATCGTCTTCACTTCCACATTCTCCCCCGTTTTCGACTTCATCTCCTCTCGTATCACCTCTTTTGCCGTTTCCTCTGTTTTCTCCTCTTTCAGCTTTTCTTTTCTACTTCCTTTCCTTCCCCCTCCTCCTCCTCTCTCTGTGTGTCCTTCTAAATATTTGCCTCATCTCCTCTGACTTTCAAAGCAGAAAGCAAACATGCAAAGATATTTACGCGTCGGTGTCGGCGTGCAGTCTTGCAAGACAACGCCTTTCATTTGACATTGACGGCTGACATGTTTCATGCATCAACGTACTCTTGCTGTGAAATTAGAAGAATGCAGGTTTGAAGGAAAAGAACATAGTGTATATACAGCCGCAGTGTTTTACTAGCTGCAGTTTGATGATGTGTTATTTCAAAATCAACACGATTAAATTCTGCTTTGAGTTACAAGATTGTATTATAATCAGGAGAATGCAGCTCCACATGGCCTGTTGAATGAACAACACGGCTACAGTTGCTGCTGTCTTCCTATTTTATGTGAGCTGTTCCTTAAATCTACAACTTGACCCGAGCACGTTAGCGTCTACCTTTTGTGCGCTGAAAACAAGCGTGCTTATTGGTATGGTGTGCAGTTATGTGAGTGCTGAAGCCTGCAGCTCTTTGATCTCCACGGGGAGGCTGAGGTGTTCAGGAGGAACTGCAGCCTCATCAGCAGCATCAGTCCTCCATCACAGCGCCCCAGTTCAGCTTCACTGCTCCACACCATGTAGACACACAAAGCAAACAAAATTAACCCCACTCGTAACCTTTGGGCTGTGAGCAGACGTGGAGCCTTGTTATTGGCTCTATAGAGTTCTCCGCTCGCTCCTGCAGTGACAAATGGCGAGTACTGGTTCAGCTAATGAGCACGGACCTGCTGATTCTTGCCGGCACCGGCGGCATCGCTGGCTGTCAAACCCCAACCCTGCATCTAAAAGCCATCGACGTAACGAGAAAATTCCTGAGTGTGTCAATGCAGCTTTGGCCGGTTAACATGTCCTGCTATAATTA